CCCTGAGTTCAAACTCCATGACTGACCAAAACAAATACCAAACAAAAACTAGAGCAAATGACATTCAAGACTTAATAGCTTTTACACACACACACACACACACCACACCATACACACACACACACACAGAGACGCACAGGTAACTCACACCTATAATCGTAGCTATTCAGGAGGCTGAGATATGGGGATCATGATTCAAAGTCAGCCTAAGTAGACAAATCTAAGAGAGTCTCATTTCCAATTAACCAGCAAAAAGCCAGAAATGGAGGTGTGGATCAAGTGGTAGAGAGCCAAACAACTAGGCAAGAGCACAAGGCCCTGAGTTCAAGTCTACCATCTCCACCTGCACACATGTTTTTTGCAAACTTCTAATAAAGAGCATTAAGCAGCAAGCAAAAACTAGGAAAGGCATATGGGCAGTTCAGACGACTACACGATAGCTATCACACAGCTTATGAAAACATTAATGAGCTTGGCTGGATACAGCATAGTGCTTATTTCTGAGTAGTGAAAAATGAAAGCAGGTATTTAAGCAGGTGAAACCAGAAACAAACGCACAAGGAAACACAAGTCCACCACACTGAGGACTAGTTAGGAAGAAACAATTCTGGAGAATGTTTAGAGGTAAATTTAGAAAACAAAAACAGCCAGGCATGGTGGTTCATGCCTATCATGCTGGCTTCTTAGGAGGCTGCGATCAGGAGAATCAAGATTCGAGGCCAATCCAGGCAAACACTTTTACAAGACTCCATCTCAACAGGAATAGGCAGTGGTGTACACCTGCCACCCTCATTACAGCGGGGAGCACACCGAGGAGGACTGTGGTCGAGGCCAGCCGGAATAAAAAGTGAGGCCCAGTGTAAGAAGGCCTAGAGGTGTGGCTCGAGCGTTAGAGTGCCCACTGAGCACGTGCAAGGTCCTGAGTTCAAACACCAGGACTGCTAAGAAAAAAAAAAGGGGGGGCCTCACACAGTGGTCCCTTCAGCTCTAGGGAAGATCTCAGCTTTACTTTCTGCTCCATCATTACCTCTGAAAGAGAACTTCCCAGCCTCCCTGGATGATCAAGTGTCTCTGTGGAACACAACCAGGCTGTGCAGATGAACACAGACAACACTGGCGGCCTCTTCCTTTCTCCTGACAGGTTGACACCAAACCAGCTCCCTTCCCACCTATAAATACTTGGCTTTGCTCCTGCTGCTCACCTTTGTCGGGGGCTCTCTAAGGCTGGGATTAAGAGGAAGTCCCCAGGCACAGGTCATTGGTTTCCAACACAGGGAGCTACCAAACTAAGCTGCTAGCATGGCCTGGTGAGCAGGGTGCTGGGAAGTGATCTGCGGGGGTTCTCTCGCATTTATGCCAGGCCATGCAGATCTAAACTACAGCCCCCCTCCCCCTCCTGAGGCACGGGATGACTAAACCATAGAAATGTATTAGTGAGTTCTGCGTTTTTACATGTGTACTTTTAAAAATAGAAACTGTGATTTAATATTGTAAGCATATATAGCTTACTTTTTGGCGATACTGAGGCTTGAACTTAAGGCTTTGTGCTTACTAAGCACTTGAGCCAAACCTCCATCCCTTTTTGTTCTGGTTCTTTTAAAGATAGGGTCTTAACTTTTTTGCCCAGGCTGGCCAGGACAGCAATCCCCCATTTATGCTTCCCACTTAGCTGGGATGACCACGGGATGTAGTCTGCACAAACTTTCCACGTTATCTAGCCCCAAACCACGATCCTCCTCATTTCAACCTCCCAAGCACTTAGCATTATAGGATGCGGGATTAGCCCCTGTTGTAAATGAACTTCCAGGATGGCAGTGATTAACAATTGGTTTGTAAAATTGTGGAAGAGCTAGCAATTTCTCTGGAGCCAGCATAAGCCAGCCTGCCCTCCCGCTGCTAGGAGATAGTGTAAGCACCCCCTTTCTGTAACCCTGAGGGAAAAAAGAAAGGATGACAGAACTCTCCTCATTCCATTCTGTCTGCAGCACATGGTAAATTCTTTTCTCCCTCTGATCTTACGATCCTTACCCAGGGGACTGGCGACATCGTTTTGAGATCCCAGTGACTATGAAAATGGAGGCCTCTGGTCCAACAACGTGGCTAAGGTTTCAATTCAGGGGGGCATCAAGCCACGCATGGCGCTGTGCCTGTGAGCTGCCCCTGCCCGCCCTCTGCCTTGTCCTGTGGGCCAAGCCAGAGCAGCAGAACTAGCGCTGCAGGCAGAAGGCGGCAGGAGGTGAGGCTGGGGCAGAGCTTGCCCTTGAGATGCCCTTGGGCCCAGCCTCTGCTGCCTCATCAATTACAGGGATGACCAAGGGAGGCTTCATGGTGTCTCCTCGGATGTTCTTGAGGGAGCCACAGACTGCCTCGGGAAGCTCAGCAGGCAGAGGGGGTGCTGGGACGGTTATCTGGGCACGAGAACCCCACTGGGGCCAAAACGAGAAGCCCCAGTGATGGGCCGGGGCGTGATGCCCTGAAACGGAGGGGCTGTGCACAGGTGCGCGAGGGCGGGCTCGAGGGCGGGGCTTTGCACAGGTGTGCATCCGCTGCTCCTCTCACCACTGCGCCTGTCACTCAGGCTGTGTGTCACAGGGTGACAGATGTGTAACCTTGTGGCTCGCTGGGCTTGCCGGAGGCCTGCCAGAGCACCCTCACTTTGTGTGAGCAGGCTCCCAACTGTAAGAGCTGAAACCTGTGTTGGGGGGGCGTGTGGGTGGAGGGAGGGAGGGAAGGCCAAGCAGTCATCTTAGTCAGTGCGCAGATGGGAACATGGGATGGGTGGGTGCAGTTGGGAGAGACAGACGGGGCACTAATCAGGACGCACTGAACTCCTAAGTGAAACCCCTGCTCTCCCACTCAAATAAAAGATGTGTACAACAACAACAGTGCAAATGCAGCCGTCACCGCGCGGCTAATGACTGTCACCTAGAAATGCAGCCTGCACCCCAGTCTGCAGATAATCTTGTTCCCCACAGCCAACCATCTAGCTCTCCCCTCTGCGTGATGGTGAGGAGCTCTGTTGATTTGTGTAGCAATCGTGACCATTTGGGCCTCAGGGCATCTGAATTGTGGTTAATGAAGTTTTGAAATCAATTTCACACTTTCTTTTCCTTTTTCTTTTTGTCAGTCATGGGGCTTGAACTCTGGGCCTGGGCGCTGTCCCTCAGCTCTTCAGCTCAAGGTGAGTGCTCTACCACTGGAGCCACAGCGCCACTTCCAGTTTTTTTCTGGTGGCTTATTAAAGATAAGAGTTTCACAGCTTTTCCTCCCCAGGCTGGCTTTGAACTGCGATCCTCAGATCTCAGCCTTCTGAGTAGCTAGGATGACAGGCGTGAGCCACCGGCACCCAGCTCACACTTTCTTTCTTTGTGTGTTGGTCCTGAGACTCAACTCAAGGCTTGGGTGTTGTCCCTCAGCTTTCTGGTGTTCTACCACTTGAGCCACTTCTGGCTTTTCAGTCATTTACTGGAGCTAAGAATCTCACAGACCTTCCTTCCTAAGCTGGCATGGAGCCAGCCTTCTGAGAGATATGCAGAGTCTCAAGGACTTTCCTGCCCACACTGGCCTCAAACTATGATCCCCAGATCTCAGCCTTCTGAGTAGCTAGGATTACAGACGCCGGCCACCGGTGCCAGGCCCGGTGTGTGAGCACGCGGCAGTGTGACCAAGCCAGTGTGCGGGACAGTGACTCCCAATCAGCTTCCCCTGCTCTCCTCTTCCAGCCTTGACTTGTGTTACGATGGTTTTGAAACAGAATCCCATTTGGGCTGGGGCTTGGGTGCGACATTTGTACCTAGCCACCATCTTCCGTTCAGGACGGATGTAGGAACAGAATGGCTTTATTTCTACTTATTTACATTTTTAATGCTTTGGGTTGAACTCAGGGCTCTGCACGTACAGGCAGGTATTGTATCTCTGAGCTACTCCCAGCCCTCTCTCTTGCCCAAGTGAAGAAGCCGGCAACAATTTGAAGCTGTTTCTCAAAGTGGGGTTCTGGGCGGCGCAGCAGGTGGCTGGGAACTTGTCAGATATGCAAACTCCCGGCCCGCCCTGCCCCAACCTCCCAGGCAGACAGGGAGGGAGGGTGGGGCTCTGCTGTCAGCCGGACTGAAAAACAACCACCCGGTGATTCTGCCAGCGTCCTTCAGTGCCCAGGGCTCTAAAGCAATGTTGAAATGGCTGAAAGGCTGCACGGCGCGCTCTGGGTCTTTCCCAATGCCGAAACGAGGTCGGGGAAAGCACTAAACCCAGCCAGCCGGCCAGCAATCCTAGACCGGGGAATGACTACATCTCCTGCTCCCTGCCATCTGGCCAGGCCGAGCCTCTGCCCTGCCAGAAGGGAGCCCAGGACGGCTAGCACTTTCTATCGGAGTCCTGCAAACGCATGCACCTCCACGCAGGAAATGGAGAAATGCAAAACAATCCAACCCAGGGGTAAGGGATGCTGGAAATCTCTGCATTCAAAGAAGTCACGGCAACCCATCGGTGTGCACTCCTCAGTCTGAGCAGAGCAATCACTACTTCCCAAGCGGCAGCCACAAGAGAAAAAAGACAGGGATCGACCGACAGCTTCCCCCGGGACACAAACGCGGCCTCCCAGGCCAGGCGGCTCTCCATCTGCTCCCGGACCCACCCCCTCTCATCACCGCACCACGCACCACAGAGACCGGCTGCCTGCAGGATCCTAAGCGTTTCTCTCCCAGGCCCGTCCCCCAACACATGCTCCTGCAGCACAGAGGTTCTCCGTCCCCAGAACCCCCAGATCGCAGGCTCAGAGCACCCTCTGAGCGAGACAGACCTGCCCCGTGCTCGCCATCTTCTCTCACGTTCAGCCTCTGAGCCTGACCTGCAAGGCCCCCGCGGCCACGTGCCCCAGGCCCTGCACGCAGCCTGCCAACGTGTCAAAGTCTCAAAAGCGATTTCTAAAGCCCCCTCCCCAGCCAATCCAGGTTGCTTCTCTAGAAAGCAAGTGACGGCGACGTTGCCCACGGCGGGCTTACCGAAGGCCTGGATGCAGATGTCCAGGAGCTCCTCCAGGCTGGCTCCGCGGGCCAGCTGTCCCAGGGGCACCATCATCCCCAGCTGAGTGACCGGGGCCAGGCTGGTGTGGCAGGGCAGGGAGGCTGGCTTCGCCTCTAGTCTTGCTCTGGGGGCAGCTCGGGCGCCATGGGGCTGTTTCCTGGGGAGGAGAGGAGGAGGTGAGGGAGGTGAGGGAGGGAGCAGGTCACAGCTCCGAGGACGCCAGGCTCCGGGGCTGGAGAGGAACAGGGCGGAGGAGAGCCGAGGAGTCTCAGGAGCTGGGCTGAATGGAGGCGCAGCCCTCCTTCCTGGCAAGGGCACTGATCAGACTGGTTGGCTGTGAAACTCCAGGTAAGAGGTCCCCCGGGGAAAGGGGGAAGGATGCGGGCCCTCCCACTTCTGGAAGGCCAGCGGCAGGTGGCAGACGGTCCCTGGGCCGCCCGGCAGCTCGTGGCCAGTCAGTTTTACTACTCCAGCGGCTAAACCACTGGCACGTGCCTCACAGCTACTGCAGCTGGCCCCAATTCATCTCGAGCGACGCGAGCAGTGCAGAGGTTGGCAGTCTCTGAAGCGCCTTCAGGGAACTCGGGGGAGAACCAGGCCAGGGGAGGCTGAGGGGGCGGTGGCTAGATTTTAAATTAGTCCTGCCTTTCTTACACATCTATATTGGGATTAAGAAACCACGTACTATTATCAACCACACAATGACCCCTAAGATATCTTCTATCCCCAAGCACTATTCCATCAAGTCCTTATTTGGATTCTTTTTGGTTTGAACTCTGGGCCTGGGCGCTGTCCCTGAGCTCTTCAGCTCAAGGCTAGTGCTCTACCCCTTGGGCCACAGCGCCACTACAAGCTGTATTCTCCAGAGGTATGTTCTAGAACTAAGTGGAAAAGGACACGTTTGGAATGGACCTGTCATCTGTGTGTGTGGTGTGTGCGCGCACACACGCACACACATGCTCACCGGTACTGATGCTTGAGCCTAAGAACTGTGCCTCAGCCCTTTTCAGCTCAAGGCTACTACTCTACCACAGCTCCATGTCCTTTTTTTTCCCTTCTTTTGCTGGTTAATTGGAGATAAGAGTCTCATGGACTTTCCTGCCCAGGCTGGCCTCAAACCTCCATCCTCAGATCCCAGCCTCTTGTGGAGCTAAGGTTACAGGTGTGAGCTACTGGTGCCCAGTCTGTCAGCCTTATCTTTGATCATGACATCATGGGCACAAGTCATTTCACTAAAATGACTTTGAAGGTTTTAAAAATATTTTCCTTTTCACTGGAAAAAAGACACAGATACACATCTGTAATCTTAAAGACTCGACTTGGAGAGAAAGACGGGGAGAAGGGAGGGGAAGGCAGCCCAGCGATTGGGTCCATGTCCTTTCAGGGGGCCAGGCCGGCTCTGCGGGGCCTTTCCCTGGCAGGGGGTTGCCTCAGCCACGCAGGGCTGCCCCGGTGCTCCAAGTGTGGGGGCCCTGGGTAGGGAGAGGAGCCTGCTACAAGACTGCGTGGCCCTCCTTCGAGTGGCAGCACCGAGCGCCAACGGTGTGCTGCACACCGGCTGCTGGGCCTGCTCTGCGCGCTCACTGGCAGCTCCGATCCCACTGGTACCGGGCCTCAGGAGCCCAAGGCCCGGTGATCCTGAGAGACCAAGCACCGGCCACGACGGATGTCCGTCCCGGGCTGAGTCCGATCACCAGCTGGAACAGAACCCCCAGAGCACACAGCAGGGGCCGCCCGGCCCGGCAGCCGGTGCTGGCTGGTGTCTCTGAGCCGATGGACCAGAAGGCTGTGTTCTCCGAGGAGGAGCAGCCGCCGCCCGGCTTTTGTGCTGTGGGTGGCCATCTCCTTTGCCTGGGACCCCAAACCTTCTGCGCCCCTCAGAAGGGGCCAGGAGGGCTCGGCGGGTGGACTGACTGCACAGCGGTTCAGCTCTGCCCTCGCCGGCCCTGCAGGTGCCAGGAGCTGCGCGGCCCGCCGGCACGGAGGGTCTTCGCAAAGCACTGGTCT